TGAAGTGAGAATACTCTATAGTGGGACAGTAGTGGTGCATGACTTTAATCCCAGCACTTCAGAAGCAGAGGCAGACAGATCTCTATGAATTTGAGACCAGTCTGGTTTACAGAACAAGTTTCAGGATATCCAGGGAGTTACACAGAAAGACTCCATCTCAACAAACAAAACAAAATAAAACAAAAAACAGAGCAAGAATACCTTATAATGAGGGTGGATGGATGGGTGAACATTATAGGCCATCAAATAAAAATTTCCATGTCAGTAAGGGTTACTTATTTTTTAGTTGTTAGTGATGTTCAATACCCCTCAAACATTGCAGACTATTGGCATTGTTCTTGGTTAGCCATCAGAACTTTATCTTATGATCATACTGCTGAAGGCAACACATACTTAAGTCATAGAACATGGATAAATCAAGATGGTACTAATCTAGCTATTTTTTGTACTAGAAGGTGCAATGCTTATCATCAGGTCAGAAAAGTATCCTATAACACAAAGTAAGTAAGAATAAAACAGATGAGAAAATGAACTGACTAATAAGATAGAATCATCAGTACCCCATCTAATGGAGATTTGTACTCAAATATCACCATTTCTACCAAGTGTTGAGACCTACAGTTGACTATCTTCTCAAAAGTAATGTCAACTGCAACAGATTCTGTAGTTCCAAGTTATCTTTTCAGAGTCCAAGAGCTTCCTGGCTAGAATCCTTCTCAAATGTTAGAGCAGGGTTGTAATCTGCCAGGTTATGGCTGGGCAAGGAGATAGAGTCAGCTTGCTTTAGACTGATTTATACATGTATTGCCTTTCCAAAGTGTTTTATAATGTGTGGCAGTTCAGTTCAGTAATCATTTTATATGGCATTTTTTTTTCATTTTACATTTTGGCGTTTTAATCTAATCAATGAGAACAATAAATTTTGATCATATCCTCTCCTCAAACACAAGGATCGCCCATCTGAACATTTCCTCTCCCAACTTCATGTTCTCTTTTGAGTTCACTGAGTCCCATTAGTGCTGCTCAAGTATATATGAAACAGTGCCTCCTCATTAACTTCAATCACAACTAATTCTTCAGAGTGGTTTGAGATCTAGACAATAGACCTTCTTGATCTTGTAATGGTGTTGTGCAGGTAACTATGGTCTCTGTGAGTTCATGGTTCAATGGCTGTATCATGTTCCACTGAAAATAATTTGACTTAGTCTCCCCTGATCACTGAAACTTACAGATTTTTGGTTCTTCTTTGGCTATGTTTTCCAAGCTTTGAAGAAAAAAAAAAGTGTGATAGAGATGAGCCATTTAAGGCTAAATGCCCTATAGTCAGTTATTCTTTTTCTGACCGGTTGTGGTTCTCTTTAATAATGTTAGTATACTTCAAAGAGAACTTTCTTTGATAAGGGACTGAGGTTGCACTAGTCTATGGGTATAAAGATAAACACTTGGAAGTCAGTTGGATACCATGTCAATTTGCCTACTTATCTTAATTTAGTGGTAGGATTTTCTCTAGCATCTATGATCTAAAAAGTCCCATGTTCTTGGCTAGGTTAAAGTACTAAGAATGAGTTCCTTCTTCAGAAGCAGACCTTCCATCCACTTTGATATTTCTTTATTACCCTCAAGATTTTGTGCATCTACTACACAAATGGGCTATCTTGATGGGTCAGGCATTATTTTAGGATTACAGCTGTGTAGGGATATTGATAGCTTTTCTACTTTAGTAGAATGCATATTACCTTCTGATACCAAGAATGGTAGTTATCAGGGAAATAGTGAACCTTGACATATGTTATAGGGTTTTTTTAATGTCCCCTGGTATTTAGCTCCTCTCTTTGTAAATAACTCACCACTTTCCCCTAGAGTTTATTCAGGAGAATAAGCCTGTCCAGAGGAGATTTCCTTTAAACACCTGCCATGCCTTCTAACAAGCTCATTTATTGGAATTGTTGATGACAGAGCCACATACACATGTAAGATTATCTGCATACATAAATGGAAAATTATTTTTACTTTAGAATAACTCAACAGATTTTTGAAAACTCAACAATACTTAAGGTGGAAGCCGTCTTACTATTTAGGCCTCAAGTTATTGTCTTCTCTGTACTCACTGCTTATTGAGATTTGTGGGAGGTGTCAACTGCCCTGGAGTTAGTACAAGACTGAAGAGGTTGCTCCACTAATGAGGAAAATTTCACCAGCTTTGCCATGTGCTTAATCTTTGCCTTTTATTGTTATTTAAGTGTTACAAACATTGGAGAGCTAAGCACAAGGTAGCTTTGGTAAATCTTCAAGAAAATATTCTTTTGTCTGCTTCACAAAAATAGACTAAAAACACAAAAATTCATGCAACTCTATTTATTGCTTATCATTTCTTGAAGTGTGACTGTAAGATGGGTTTGAATAATGAATTTCCACTAATTTAGTCAATTTTATGTATATTTGTTCAAACCAAGTAACTCTACTTTTTCTGTTATTTTCACTGTGGCAAAGAATATCTAATTGCATTTCTACAGTAAAGTAGTCGTAGTATGTGTTAGTATGTTTGTGTCCGTCTTCACAAGTATACTCATATGTTTATACATCACAGTGTTTTGTAATAAAGGAAGTCATGATTACTTACCTCAACCTAGGACAAATGCAAGATATGAGTTCTTGAAATAATGAACTTGGAATAAAAGGTGAGTATCTTATCATGTACTATGTATTTCTTAAAGGTTAGAGACTCACATGAGGGCATGTGAATAGTGCAAAATAAAGTGAAAAAAAAAACACAAAAGTTCATTGGAACATACAAAATTTATTTGCTATTAATTTCATAACTTGGCTAGTGCCTAATTTCTATTTACCAATTTAAAGCCATTTTTGTGTTAAGTGAATAAGAATGAAAATTGCTTTAATACTTAATATTATAATTTATAATTTCTAACATTTGTCAAAAATCATATTTAAAATTACATATATCAAGTGTGCTTGAGTATAAGCAAAGAAGTGTTTTATGGTTTTGAAGCTTATACTGAGCTTTTATGTATGAATCTCAAAATAATGCCAACTAATAGTTAGCACATATACTCCTTTCCCCTTATCCAGAGGACCATATATGATAATCAGAAAAACCTATGATCAGGCTGTTGGTCAAATACTTTCACCTAGATACTTACAATTTCTATGATAAAAAATAATGCTATTGAAAACTGTGTTAAAATATTTTTTTCCAGAAAAGCTTTATTGGCTAATGCTGAAAGCACAATCATATTATTACATAGTTATACATCTTTTGAAAATTTTCTGATATAGAATATGAGGTGAGTATTCATATGATGTACTGGAGTACATGTATTTCTTGATGGTCAGATTGTCTTATGAGGGGAATGTGAATAGGGCAAATTAAAGACACACTTAAGGCTATTGGAACATACAGAGAACATTTGCTTTTTGTTTCATAACCTGACTGTTGTTTATTTTCTGGACTAAAGGCAGTAATTCTTTTATGGCAGGAATCATGATGATTTTTGCGGTTAGAGTGAAACATTCAAAACTTTAATAACCATGATCATATACATATTTGAAAAGACTCTGATCACTGCTATATACATTTTACATGTGCCTGTAACATCAAAGTGACAAGATAAAGGAGAATCTAAGTGTGCTTCTCTGGTAAAATGATAAAATGTAACACTGAGAGATTTATGAATTGGTCAAGATCAATTTCATGGCAAGGGAACCTAATTGAGATTGAAATGTAGCCAAATGACTTTAGTCTCTATTATTCAGCACTGACCTATGTTCTTGCAAATATGCATCCTTTTTTCCACCATCAATGAGATAAATAGAGTCATTATATGATTATCCTGTTCATCAGTGATTAGAATTTTTCAAAAACAGTAATGTTTATATGATTATGCATAAATTAAAAGAAAAAAATGTTAGCCAAGTGAAAAATGGTGAAGATGCATTAATTATCATTTATATAGTTTGGAAAGATAGTAAAATCATTTCATCTAGTCCTTTTTATGTGCAAAGTGTGACATATTTGTAACTAATTTAGAAAACGCTCAGACTCATGACTTCCTATCTGAAGAATTGTCTCTTTTCTTTAAAACAATTTTATGGAGGTGTAAACTGAAAATTTTGTACCCAAGATGTTAATTCTTAAAACTAATAATAATATTCTCTGCCATAGGTCTCAGTTTCTGTTTTCTCATATTTTCCTATCTATGCATTCAAGAGCAAGATAAGCTAACTGTTGGTAAAGAAGTTAATGATATCATGAGTTAGAAGATTTCTGAGTTTTTTGAATTTAGTAAAATCAAGAATGTGTGGTCAAATTCTGGTTCCTGAGAAGTCTCATAAGAACTAGTTGAAATAATTGTCATAGACAAAAATGTTCAAAATGCATTTGTAGTTACTTGATGCAGTTTCAAGTCAGTTCTGTTGAAGTTCCATGAGACCTCCATGTAGACTGAAAGTCATTTGAGAAGTACAAGTCATATGCTTACATGTTACAATATCATCACTATGAGCACTATGCTCCTAGAGAGCAAGATCAGATTCTGAAGACAGGCTTTAGACAAAACAAGTTACAAGAAATGCTTCTGTTTTATTTGATATAACGAAGTTTTATAAGTACTACAGAAACCAGATTTCTGAAAAGTAAAAGTTATTTTTTCTGTCATTACTGGTGGCAGTGATGATTCAATGTGTTTTAAATAGGTCAACTTCAGGGATGACAATAATGCACAGAAACAAGGTGAGAAACAGAGTGCTACTTGTAGGATTAATAAAATAGTCATTGAAGAAATAGAATTATAAGTAGAAGTTCTGCTTGGTTTCATAGAAGCAGAACTCAATAGCTGTTTACTAAATATCTACTGCAGGTTCATCGTTGTAGAAGAAAATAATGATAATATTATCCATGTCATAATGGAATGATGTTAACAACCTCACAGACAGTGTTGTTCTCATGAAATGTCATCTTTGATACAAGTTCTCTGAAAAGGTCAATGGGAGAGAGCAACAATGTGACAGAATTTGTCCTCATGGGACTCACTCAAGATCCTGCTGGGCAAAAAATTTTATTTGTCATGTTTTTACTCATCTACATTGTGACAGTGGTGGGAAACCTGCTCATTGTAGTGACAGTGATAGCCAGCCCCTCCTTGGGCTCCCCAATGTATTTCTTCCTTGCCTGTCTTTCATTCCTGGACATTGTTTATTCCACTTCTATTTCACCCAAGTTGATTATGGACTTAGTATGTGATAAGAAGACAGTCTCCTTCACAGCTTGCCTGAGCCAGCTTTTTATAGAGCATTTATTTGGTGGTACTGAGATTGTCATTCTTGTGGCAATGGCCTATGATCGCTATGTAGCTATCTGTAAACCACTGCATTATTTGACCATCATGAATCGACGCGTTTGTTTCATCTTGTTGATATTTTCCTGGCTTGGAGGCTTTACACACTCCCTAATTCAAATTATCTTTGTTTTCAACCTTCCTTTTTGTGGTCCCAATGTAATTGACCATTTTATGTGTGACATGTCCCCATTATTGGGACTTGTGTGTACTGACACCTACTTAATTGGTCTCACTCTCATCGCCAATGGTGGAGCCATGTGCATTATTGTCTTTATACTCCTCATATTGTCCTATGGAATCATCCTAAGATCTCTCAAGAATCACAGTCAGGAAGGGAAGCGAAAAGCCCTGTCCACCTGTAGCTCCCACATCATGGTGGTTGTCCTCTTCTTTGTTCCCTGCATTTTTATGTATGCCAGACCCATTTATAACTTTTCTATTGACAAATTTATTACTGTATTTTATACAGTTTTTACTCCAATGCTAAATCCTTTAATATACACTCTGAGAAATTCAGAGATGAAAAACTGTATGGAAAAACTCTGGTATAAAATGTTAACTACAGATAGAGTGAGAATGTCTTCTCAATAACCTGTAGCTAACTATACAGGAACAATCAGTGAAATGTTTTGTGAAAGACAATATCAAAGAATTACAGGTAACTAATTACTCCTGGGACAATGAGAATTTGCCTCTCCCAGGGATTAGTTACCTTATTGGTTTTCCAGTGCACAGTGGTTACCCCTAAAACTATATATATATACATATATATATGTATATATATATACACAAACATCATTAAGCCAGTATATATATATATATATATATATATATATATATATATATATAACAATAATTCAAAAACCCCAGGAGACCATTAACATGAGAGTAGGGGGACATAGGATGCAGCATTCCAGGTAAAGTAGCTGGGAGGCACTGGAGGCAGTACTAAGGAGGGGAAAATGATATAATTCTATTTCAGTTAAAACAACAAAAAATTAAACAAAATAAGACTACTCAGTTGATTTTTCTGGGATACTCTAAGTGTAAATTCATTAAACTAAGAAGGCAACCTTTGATAATAGGATCAATTAAAAGTGAATTTCAGGAAATGTTCAAAAGAAATATGCTTATTTTTGCCCATAACGAGGAACACTAAACTTAAGTGTAATTTATCTCAATTAATATTGAAATAGGATTTAGCAGAAAATTTTTCATCATTGTCAGTTGAGAAATAAGGTAATTTTGATAATATATGACCATTCACATTCATAAGAAAGGATTATGGTTTATAGATATAGGGTGTAGACTTTAAATCTGTCTTATTTTCAATGGTATAACAAATTTAATTTTATATGCTTATGCTAGATTTATATATGTTTATATGGAATATCAATTACTGCAGAGTAATATTCCATTTTATATGTATTATATTATTTTATTAATCTCTTTAGTATTTTATTAATCTCTTTCCAGTTTGGGGTTATTTGTATTGTTTATAGATACATAAAATTATGAATAAAGTATAAAATTTACACACATACTCATGTATGAGTTTTCTCTTTTTTTCCTTTATTAATTTATTTTTTTATTTTTATTTTACATAACAATCCCAGTTCTCTCTCCCTCCATAATTCCTTCTTTCCCTCTCTTCCACCCCCTCATGCTCCCTGAACACCATCCCCTCATCCTCCCCACAACTCAACATGTAGTGTGATGCCCTTCAGGAGCAGGAGGGGTCATGGAAATCTATCAAGTCACTTGGAGTAGGGACTAGGACTTCTCTCCTCTCTCTAGGTTAAGGGAATATCCCTCCATGGGGGATGTGCCCACAAGGTCATTTTGTGCACCAGGAACACATCCTGGATCCACTGTCTGAGGTCCCTTCACTGTTCAGGCTTTCTTTCTGAGACCCATGTTCAGGGGGCCTGAGTCAGTCTCATGCTGAATTCCCAGCTATTAGTCTGGAGGCTCATTAGCTCCTCCTTATTCAGGTCAGCTGTCTCTATGTGTTTCCGCAGCCTGGTGTTGTCCTCCCTTTCAGCATCTGGCTTCTAGTTTGACTCAGTGTTTAGTTGTGGGTGTTTGAAAAAAAAAATGAACATGTCTTCATCTCTATTGAGTAATTTTGGTTGGAAGTCTAACTTATTAGATATTAGGATAGCCACACCTGCTTGCTTCCTGGATCCATTTGATTGGAAGATCTTTTCCCAACCCTTTACCCTGAGGTAATGTCTACCTTTGAAGCTTAGATGTGTTTCTTGTATGCAGCAGAAGGATGGATTCTGTCTTTGTATCCATTCTGTTAGCCTGTGTCTTTTAGATTTCTTGTTGGCAGTGGTATTGTGAATATATTTGTCCTGCTTTCCTCTTGGTTTCTGGTGTAGTTAGATTATCTGTTGCCTACATCTTTGTGGGCATAGTTACCTTCCTTGGGTTGGAGTTTTCCTTCGAATACTTTCTGTAGGGCTGGATTTGTAGATACGTGTTGGGAAAATCTGGTTTGACATTAAATACCTTGTTTTCTCCATCTATAGTGATTGAGAGTTTTGGTGGGTATAGTAGACTGGGCTGGCATCCGTGGTCTCTTAGTACTTGTAGAACATTTATCCAGGACCTTCTGGGTTTCCATGGAGAAGTCAGGTGTAATTTTGATAGGTCTGCCTTTATATGTTACCTGTCCTTTTTATTTTGATGCTCTTAATATTCTTTATATTGTATGCTTGGTGTTTTGATTATTATATGTTGAGGAGTCATTTGGAGAGATCAGAGATTACAGGAACATACCTAAACATAATAAGAGCAATATACAGCAAACCAACAGCCAACATCAAATTGAATGGAGAGATGCTTAAGGTGAGTCCTCTAAAATAAGGAACAAAACAAGGCTGCCCTCTCTTTACATACAAGTCTTTGTTGCATTGATTTTTTTGTATTGTTTTCCTGGTTTCTATTTTGTTCTCCTGGTTTCTATTTTGTTGATTTCAGCCCTCAAATTGATTATTTCCTGGTGTCTACTCCTCTGGGGCGAGTTTGCTTCATTGTTATTGTTTTTTGTTTTTGTTTTTTTTTTTTTGCTTTTATTTAATTTATTATTTACATGTCGATCCAAGTTCCCTCTCCCTCCCTCCTTTTTAACCCCTCTACCCCCCTCACATGCACACTGACCACCCTCCCATCCCATCCCTCCACCCCAATTCCACATGTAGGGCAATGCCATCCAGGTGGGGTCATATAGATTTGAAGTATGGACTAGGAGTTCTCTCTTGTCTCTAGGTTAAGGCAGTTATCCCTCCATGGGGTATGCTTTTGCCCTTTTGTTCACCAGGGATACATCATGGTTCCACTGTTTGAGGTCCCTTAGACTGTCCAGTCCTTCTGGCTGAGACCCATATTCAGGGGGGCTGAGTCAGTCCCATGCTGGCTTCCCAGCTATCAGTCTGGAGGCCTGTTAGCTCCTCTTTGTTCAGTTCAGCTATCTCTATGTGTTTCTGCAACCTCAACTTGTCCTCTCCCTCAGCATCTGGATTCTGGTTCAACTCAGTGTTTAGGTATGGGTATTTGCTTCTGTTTTCAACAAGCATTAGATGAGGGCTCCATGGATGAGTTAGTTGTTGATCTCACTATCCGGGTAGGGCATTTATGGCAGCCTTTCCACTGTTGCTCAAATTGTTAGGTGGCAGCAGTCTTGTAGGTCTCTAGATCTTTCTTTAGGTTCAGTTATCTCTTCAAACCAATAATGCCTCCTTCTTTTATGTTCTCTCTCTCTCTCTCTCTCTCTCTCTCTCTCTCTCTCTTTCTCTCTTCTGTCTTCTATTCCTAACTTGACTCAATCTTCCTAGTCACACCTGCATTCCTCTTCTCCACCTCTCTTTCTCCTACCTCTCTGTCCATTCACTGCCCTCCCCAACTTCTCATGTGCTCTGGAGGACTTGTCCCTTCCCCCTTCTGTGAGGGACTTTATATGAATCTCTTAGAATACTCCTTGAAATCTAGTTCCTCTGGTGGTATGAATTATAGGCTGGTGATCCTTTGCTCTAGGTCTAAAATCCATATATGAGCGAGTTCCTCTTTTTGTGACTGGGTTACCTCATTCAGGATGGTTTCTTCAAGTACCATCCACTTGCCTGCGAATTTCAAGATTCCATTATTTTTTTCTGCTGAGTAGTATTCCATTGTGTAGATGTGCCACATCTTCTTTATCCATTCTTCAATTGAGGGACATCTAGGTTGCTTCTAGGTTCTTGCTATTACAAATAATGCTGATATGAACATAGTTGAGCAGATGTCTTTGCTGCATAGATGAGGATCATTTGGGAATATGCCTAAGAGGGGGATTGCTGGGTCCTGTGGTAAACTAATTCCCATTTTCCTGAGAAACCGCCATACTGATCTGCAAGATGATTGTACGAGTTTGCACTCTCACCAGCAGTGGAGGAGTGTTCCCCTTTCTCCATATTCTCTTCAGCAGGAGTTGTCATTGGTGTTTCTAATTTTAGCTATTCTGGCAGGAGTAAGATGGTATCTCAACGTTGTTTTTATTTGCAATTCCCTGATAGCTAAGGATGTTGAGCACTTTCTTAAGTGTCTTTCAGCCTTTTTGGTTTCCTCTATTGAGAATTCTTTCTTCAGTTCTGTACCCCATTTTTAGTAGGTTTGTTTGGTGTTTTGGTGAACACTTTCTTAAGTGTCTTTCAGCCTATTTCATTTCCTCTATTGAGAATTCTCTATTTAGTTATGTACCAAATTTTTAATAGGGTTATTTAGTGTTTTGTTGACTAGTTATTTGAGTTCTTCATACATTTTGGAGATCAGCCCACTGTCAGATGTAGGATTGGTAAAATTATTTTCCCATTATTTGGGTTGACTTTGGTCTTGTCAACTGTGTCCTTTGCCTTACAGAAGCTTCTAAGTTTAAGGAGATCTCATTTATTAATTGTCGATCTCAGTATCTGTGCTGCTGGAGTTATGTTTAGGAAGGTGTCTTCTGTACTAATTTGTTCAAGGGTACATCCCACATTCTCTTCTAAGAGGTTCAGTGTGGCTCAATATTTGTTGAGGTCTTTGATCCATTTGGACTTGAGTTTTGTGCATGGTGACAGACATGGGTCTTTGTGCAGTCTTATACACACCATCATCCAATTGTGCAAGCACCATTTGTTGAAGATGCTTTCCTCCTCCCATTGTATACTGTTAGTTGTTTTGTCAAAACTTAGGTGTTCATAGGTGTGTGGATTACTTTCTGGATTTTGATTTGATTTCTTTGGTCTACCTGTCTATTTTTGTGCCAATACCAGGCTGTTTTTCACGAGCATATCTCTATAGTAGAGCTTAAAGTCGTGATGGTGATGCCTCCTGAAGTTCCATTATTGAACAGGGTTATTTTGTCTATCCTGGGTCTTTTTTTCATATAAATTTGAGTATTATCCTTTCAAGTTCAGTGAAGAATTGTGCTGGGATATTAATGGGGATTACATTCAATCTGTAGATTACTTTTGGCAAGATTGCCAGTTTTACTATTTTATCCTACCTATCCTAGAACATGGGAGACATTCAAGTCCATTCCAAATCAGGGGTCTCTGGGTTCTGCT